TGGGGCTCCTGGGGACGTAGGGCTCGTAAACTTCATAGGCCTCTTCTGGCGACTGGGGGTCACAGGGCGCGTAGGGGTCGTCGGACTGGATGTACTGAAGGCCCATGGGGCTAATACAGCTCATAGGGTCCATAGGGCCCGTAGGGGTGAAAGGACTCATCAGGCTCATTGGGCTCGTAGGTCTCAAGGGGGTCGTATGGTCCACAGGGGTCATAGGGCTCTGAGGGTGCACAGGCTCTTTGGGGTTCATAGGGCTCATGGGGCCCATAGGGCTCGTAGGGCTCATATGGTTCGTAGGGCTCACAGGGCTCACGAGGCTCATGTGTTTCATGGTGCTCATGGGGCTCATAAGGCCCACATGGCTGATAGGGCGAATAGAGGCTCATAGAGGCTCACAGGGGTCATAGGGGCCATTGGGGTCGTAGGGCTTATAGGGCTCCTGGGGCTCATAAAGCTTTTAGGCGATAGGGCTCGTAGGGCTCATGGGGCACCACGGGGAACCATAGGACTCATAGGAATCACAGGGCCGATGGCGCTATTATGGCTGATAGGTGTTAGAGGGGTCATAGGGATCATAGGGCTCTTGGGGCTCATAGATTTTTTGGGGTTCGTAGGGGTCAGCGGGTCCCCAGGGCTCATAGAGGTCGTAGGGCTTTTGGGGTCCATGGGGCTCGTAGGGCTCATGGGGCTCACAGGGCTCATGAAGCTCGTAGGGCTCTTAGGCAAGAGGCCGTGTTGGGCTCATATGGCTCACGGGGCACCATGGGGTACCATACTTAAGGCTCATAGTGATAACAGGGCCGATAGGGGTGATCTGGCTGATAAGGGTCATAGGGGTCGTAGGGCTCACGGGGCTCATACAACTCTGAGGTATTAGGGCTCAGAGGGCTCGTAGGGCTCATGGCCGATAGGGCTGATAGGGATGATAGGGTGGTAGAGATCATAGGGCTCATGGGGCGCATAGGGCTCTGAGGTAGTAGGGTTCATAACGCTCATGTGGTTCGTAGGGCCGAGCGGCTCATAAGGCTAATAGAGGTCAGAGGGATCGTGGGGCTCATGGGGCTCGTAGGGCTCACGCGGGTCGTAGTGCTCATTGAGCTCGTAGGGCTCATAGGCTCGTGGGACTCATGCGGCTTATGGGGTTCACAGGGGTGACCGGGGTCATGGGGCTCTTTGGGCTCATGGGGCTCATGTGGCGCCATAGGGCACCACAGGGCTCATGAAGCTCGTGGGGGACGCTTTCAGAAAGGGAACAGTGGTACCGCAGGGCTGCTTCGCATTCCCCGTGGTCATTCCAGCATACGCCTCAAGAACCAAGAGATTGTGACGCCCTGCGTCACACGCAGCTGCATGGGGATGTGGTCTCTTGGAGGTGTCTGCGGTGCGTCTTGGGGGCCTCTCGAAGCCTCTTGGAGGGTTCTCGGGGGCTTCTGGGGACTTCTTGGCAACGTCCTGGAGGCCTCCAGGGGGGTCTTGGGGGCAGGATGACAGCCACACCCTTGAGATTCAGGTCGAACGACCCTCTCTGGAGGCTTTGTGGGGCTCACTTGGGGCCCTGTTTGGACTCTCTTTGGCTGTCTTGGGCGTGTCTGCGGCTGTCTTGCAGCTCTCTTGGGCTGTCTTTGGGGCCTTTGGAGCCGTCTTGGGAACTGTCTGGCTCCTCTTGGGCCGTCCTGGGCATCGTGGAAGCCCAGAGCAGGAATGTTGTGGAAACGCAATATTTCCCGAAAGATGTTGATCATTTTAGTGTCCATGAGCCGCACTGGGGGACCCCTGGGAGCGTTCTTGAGCCGTCTTGGGGGCCTTCAGGGCCGTCGACGAGCTTCAATTGTTTGGGTGTTCCGCGGGGCCGTCTGGAACGCGATCCTGGGCGCGCTCGGGCGGCTTGGGATAGCCAGGAAAGCCCCCAGGAACCGAAAAACATGATGTCTGCCCGATGGGACCGTCCAGGGCCGAATGTATGTACCCGCGAAGGGGGGTCACCGGGGGTTTTCCGTCATAAAAAAATCTGAGAGGAATCTAAATATTTCCCCATATCCTAAGAAGGGGTTCTTGTTATTACTTGGACGCCTCCTACTTCCTCTCCTTCTCCTCCTCCTCCTCTCCTCCTCTCCTCCTCCTCCTCCTCCTTCGTCCTCCCCTCCTGTCGGACTTACTCATACTCAGACTTGCTCACACCCAGATTTGCTCACAGGCGGGGCGCTGGTTTCAGCACCCCTAAGGGGAGCCGCCAGGGGGTATATCACGGGCCCGTTCGCGGCCAGTTTGTGGGGATGTCTCATGCGGTTTGCTCGTTTTCATGCCCAACATCCTTGGCTTTCATAGCAGATTTTGAGGATGTCTCAGGCGGGGCGCTGGTTTCAGCACCCCTAAGGGGAGCCGCCAGGGGGTATATCACGGGCCCGTTCGCGGCCAGTTTGTGGGGATGTCTCATGCGGTTTGCTCGTTTTCGTGCTCAACATCCTTGGCTTTCATAGCAGATTGTGAGGATGTCTCAGGCGGCGCGCTGGTTTCAGCACCCCTAAGGGGAGCCGCCAGGGGGTATATCACGGGCCCGTTCGCGGCCAGTTTGTGGGGATGTCTCATGCGGTTTGCTCGTTTTCGTGCTCAACATCCTTGGCTTTCATAGCAAATTGTGAGGATGTCTCAGGCGGGGCGCTGATTTCAGCACCCCTAAGGGGAGCCGCCAGGGGGTATATCACGGGCCGTTCGCGGCCAGTTTGTGGGGATGTCTCATGCGGTTTGCTCGTTTTCGTGCTCAACATCCTTGGCTTTCATAGCAGATAGTGAGGATGTCTCAGGCGGGGCGCTGGTTTCAGCACCCCTAAGGGGAGCCGCCAGGGGGTATATCACGGGCCCGTTCGCGGCCAGTTTGTGGGAATGTCTCAGGCGGTTGCTCGTTTTCGTGCTCAACATCCTTGGCTTTCATAGCAGATTGTGAGGATGTCTCAGGCGGGGCGCTGGTTTCAGCACCCCTAAGGGGAGCCACCAGGGGGTATATCACGGGCCCGTTCGCGGCCAGTGTGTGGGGATGTCTCATGCGGTTTGCTCGTTTTCGTGCTCAACATCCTTGGCTTTCATAGCAGATTTTGAAGATGGAGGAAAGGGGGAGGAGGAGGAGGAGGAGGAGGAGGAGGAGGAGGAGGAGGACGAGGAGTGAGAGTATGCACACCTGGGAAGCTCCGAAGTTACCGCAGGCTGAGGAGGGCACGGCCTGGCAGCTGAGGAGGGGGAGTGAAGATGAAGAGGCTCATGTTCAATCGTACTCAGCTCAATCTGACTCATACTCACTCACTCGCATCAGGATGCACTCGTCTTCGTCGGGCCTGTCGCCAACGTGGACGGGCTATTATAGTCAAACGCTCATGAACAGACGCTCACTACGGCATAATATAAAACATGAGATGCACATATGGGGAGCTCCACGAAGTGAGTAATGTCTGTACACGTGGAAGGATAGATATACGCATACGTATGTGATAATGCACATGTCTGTGTATGTGCATACGTGGAACATATGTTTAAGTATACGTTGCGCGTATGAAATATAAACATATACGCATGTACAGTTTCATTTAGATGTTCATGCTCATATGTGCTCGGATCGACTTGTTGTGTATGTTGTGTATGTATGTATGTACATACATGTCCATCCATCCATCCATCCATCCATCCATCCATCCATCCATCCATCCATCCATCCATCCATCCATCCATCCATCCATCCAACCGGCCAACCAACGAACCAACCAACCAGCAGCCAACCAGCCAACCAGCCAACCATCCAGCCAACTAATCAACCAGCCGAGAGGCCTCTCGGGAGGCCCAAGAAGCTTGCGGGAAGCCTAAGAGGCTTCTCGGGCGGCCCGAGACGCCTCTCGGGAGGCCCTAGATGATTTTGTGGAAGCGGAAGCCCCAGACGCCTCTCGGGAGGCCCAAGGCGCCTCTCGGGAAGCCCAAGGCGCCTTTCGGGGGGACCAAGACGCCTCTGGGGAGGCCAAAAACGCCTCTCGGGAAGCGCCCAAGGCGCCTCTGGGGAGGCCCGAGACGCCTCTCGGGAGGCCCAAGACGCCTCTCGGGAGGCCCAGTGTGATTTTCGGGAGGCCCCAGCCCAAGACGCCTTTCGGGAGGCCCAAGAGGCTTCTCGGAAGGCCCAAGAGGCTTCTCGGGAGGCTGAAGAAGCCTCTCGGGAGGACAACAAGGCTTCTCGGGAGGCCAAAGGCGCCTCTCGGGAGGCCCGAGACGCCTCTCGGGAGGCCCAAAACGCTTCTCGGGAAGGCCAAGAGGCCTGTCGGGAAGCCCGACAGGCTTCTCGGGAGGCCCAAGAGGCCTCTCGGGACGCCCAGGAGGATTCTCGGGAGGCCCAAGAGGCTTCTCAGGATGCCCAAGGGCCCTCTCGGGACGCCCAAGAGGCCTTTCAAGGAGGCCCAAGACGCTTCTAAGGAGGCCTCTCAAGAATTCTCCAGAGGCCTCTGGAAAACTACTTCTGGAACTCGCACACGGGGAATGGATCAATTTACCGGGGAAATACCCAGTTTACCGGGAAAGGAATTATTTCCCTCCTCTCCTCCTCCTTCCCCTCTCGACCATTTCCAGGTCCCCCTACCTGCCCCCGACTCCCCCATCCCCCTCCTCCACATCATCCCCGCCTCCTCCTCCTCCTCCTCCTCCTCCTTCTCCTCCTCCTTCCCCCTCCTTCATCCGACGACGACGGCCACGACGAGCACGACGACCATGACGATCGGCGGAGCGCGAGTTGAGACAAGGGCAACTCAAGAATGGTCCCCGGACCCCTCCTGGAGTTCAAACGCACACGTGATCCGAGCTGCGTTTAGCCGTGGCAGCGAGGGGGGCTCCCGAAGGCCAACTACAGCTGTCTCAGCTCGCCATCCTCTGAAGGACGACCCTTCCGTCCGACGACGAGGGCGGAGCAGGTCCCGACGCGCACGACAAAGCACGAGGACATTCTGCGCCAAGCCGCGGGCGGCTGGGCCCCGGGCCGCGGCGTGGAAGCCGAGGTTCTCCCCGCCGGTGACCACCACCGAGGAGGGCTGGGCCTTCGCCTTCAGGAGGCTGGCCGTCTCCTGCGCGGGCGCGCGCGCGCGAGCCGGCGGCGGGGCCGGCGCCACGCCTGGTCCAGCTGCCGGCGCGTGAGCTCCTTCGGGGCCCTGCTGGCGCTCGCGGCGCCGAAGGCTGCGGAGGCTCGGCACCGGAGGCTGGAGGAGAGCGCGCTCCCGCCATGGCATGGGGGCGGCTGCGTCGCGAAAGAGCCGCCGGTTCTGCGAGTTGCTTTGGCTAGTGGAGGGGGGGCAGTTCCTACCAGGTCACTCGACTGTGCCCATCGCGCCCAGCGACAATCTTCGCGCCCTCGCGCCGACCTGGAGAAGGGCAACCAGGCTGTCCCAGACCGCGACGCCCGAAGCGCGGCAATCTTCGCTCCCCCACCGGTGACCTGGTTCTTGGAAGCCTGCCGAGCTCAACATCTTTTGGCACGCGACTCGTTGCGGACTCTGGGTCCCCAGACCCCCGACGTCATGATTTTGTGGTAACGTCGACCCCAGAAGTCTCGACCCACACCCCCGGACCGGCTCTTCATCCTGAGCCGTTTTGTAAACGGTCCCGACGCTCGGTAAGGGCCTCCAAAAACCGAACATATAATCAGGGTGAGGGGGCCGAACGGTCATTCATTGTCCCTGGGTGCGTGGCTGAAATGAGAATCCGTGGTGAGGATTATGCTTGTTGCGTTGTTGTTGTTGTTGTTGTTGTTGTTGTTGCTGTTGTTCTGAAAGGTAATTATTCTTGATCCCCCCCCTCCGGTGCACATTGCATTTGTCAGTTGAAATGCTCCTCCCAGCGCTCGCACCCGGATTTTTATCAGTGAGAATATTCCTCCTCAAACTGTGCCCCTGGCCCCCGGTTTACAACAACAACAACAACAACAACAACAACGGTTTCCGCTTCACCCTTCTTTGAAATTCACTCCGGCCCCCCGCTCCCGCAGGAGACGTCTTCGCGATTGACTCGAGGAGCGCGCTCCCGCCCGAGACTTCCTTGCAGCTTGCTCGGGCGCCGCGCTCTCCTGCCATGCAGGAGTCGCGCGCTCGCTGGGGACTCCCCCACATCCACTTAGGAATCGCTCTCTCGCTGGAAACTTCCCGGCGAACCACGCAGCAATCAAAAAGAAATACCTACCCACCCAAACTGGTATGACCGCAGACGAAGAGGGCGGGCATCGAGGGTTCGGGAAATTCACGCTGAATGACTCTCGAGCAGATAAGAGCGAACGGTCTCAAACTTGTTGTTGTGAATGTTGAACTCTCACTTCAAAAAGAATAGTTATTGTTGATCACCCCACCAGAGCATACTCTTCTCTCTCAATCACACTGTGCCCCTCGACGCTCGCACCTTTTTTTTTTGTAACAAAAAAACACAGGAAAAATCTTGAAGCTCAAATCGGGCCCCTGGCCCCCAGGTTGGAACAACAACGGCTCCCGCCTGAGACTTCCTCACAATTTAGCCAAGACCCCCGCTCCCGCCCGAGACTTCCTTACATTTTATTCAGGAATCGCGCTCTCGCTTGGGACTTCCTTACAATTAGTTGAGGAATCGCTCTCCTGGCGCTCTGGAGTCGCGCTCTCGCTGGAGACTTGCTTGCAATCTACTGAAGAATAGCACCCTTGCGTTGGAATTTCCTGTAATTTACTCAAGCGCCGCGCTCCCGACACAAAGGCACCCAGGAGTCGCGCTCACACTTACGACGCCCTCACAGATTTCATGGGGATCAGGATCTCGCTGCCCTTCGTGGCCCCGTTGTAACCCTTCGTGGCGCCCCCGCTCTGTTTCATGGCCCCGTTGCAACCCTTCGTGGCCCCATCGCTGCCGTTCGTGGCCCCGTTGCAGCCCCTCGTGGCCTCGTCGCTGCCCTTCGTGGCCCCGTTGCTGCCCTCGTGACCTCGTCGCTGCCTTTCGTGGCCCCGTTGCAGCCCTTCGTGGCCCCCTCGCTGCCCCTCGCGGCCCGGTCGCAGCCTTTCGTGGCCCCGTTGCAGCCTTTCGTAGCCCCCTCGCTGCCTCTCGTGGCCCCGTTGCATCCCTTCGTTGCCCCGTCGCTGCCCTTGGTGGCCCCATATATGTATGCCCTTCGTGGCCCCCGCTCGTTCGCGCCCGTGGTGGCCCCATATGCATGCCCTTCGTGGCCCCGCTGTCGCCTTTCGTGGCCCCTTCGCTGCCCCTCGTGGCCCCGTTGCTGCCCTCAGTGGCCCCGTCCTTGCCCTCCGCGGCCCAGTATACGTATGCCCTTCGTGGCCCCTGCTCGTTCGCGCCTGTTGTGGCCCCATGTGCGTGCCCCTCGTGACCCCGATGCCGCCGTTTGTGGCCCCCTCACTGTCCTACGTCGCCCAGTTGCTACCCTCACTGGCCCCATCGTTGCCTCCAGTGGCCCCGCATTACCTACCCTTCGTAGCGCCCGCCCGTTCGCGCTCTTCGTGGCCCCACACGCATTCC